TGGCCCTGATTTCTCATTCAAAGAAACTAGCTGGCCCTGCGCTTCAAAATGATCCCTTTCCTGTCTTGGGAGAAGGAAATCGAAGCAGCATTGTGAGACTGATGGGTAGAGTGCCTGTTTTGCTGAAATGTGATTTCTCACAGCCTCCTTGGGCCACCCCTCTGGCTGCTTCTAGCTATCTAGAGTGGCAGAAAGCAGGCCTTTGGCCTCTTCTGCACTCTCCAACCTGTTCAGGTCAGAGCAGCCAGAGGGATTTGATTAAAAATCAACCAGATCATGTTATTCCTCAGCTTATATGTGCCAACAGCTTCCATGTTCTCCTAACCTCTCTCCAGGGTCCACAGGCTTCTCCATCACCCCTCACACTCCAACTACAGTCTCCCATCCACCTCATTTCCCCAGCCCCCCTCCTTCCTCAGTGGCCTCACTATTCTGATCAGAACACAGCCAATCATCCCCCATGGTCAAGAATAAATGCCTTTGGTCACATGTTTTAAGTGAGACTACTCCTGTCTACAGACAGCCATCAAGGTAGATTCCACATCCCTCTTTTCTCACCAGACTGCCCTCTAGTGGCCACCCATTGAATCTCTCCCTCTTCACTACTGGCCATCACCTTTAAACCACTCCTGCCAGAATCACTTTTCCAGAAAATTCACCGGGACACATCATTTATTCCCTTATTTACCTATTTCTAGAAAATAATTTATAATTTCTTGACCTTGTTCACAAGGTTCCCCCCAAATCTGGTGCTATTACTTCAGCCTTGTCTCAATTCCCCCACTCCCACCTCACCCCATTTGACTACATTCATAAAACTCACTTTCTACTGATGTCATATCCAGATCTATCTAACTGATAAATTCCAACGTGCAATGCAAGACCTGGTCACCATGATGCTTGTGAAACCATCTTCAACTCCACAAGGCCCCTCCTGTTCACTCTTACTTGGTTACTGCACATAGCTCATTGTTTGAAATATTTCTGGACCCAGTACATCAAACAAGTAGGATTTGTAGATATGATCAAATGCACCTTTAGTTTCATTTGATCAGGACAATTCTTCTCCTGACTTTAGATGAAATCTGGGACAAACTTGTGACTGTTCTGATAGTTTAGAACTTTTGTAGGCACTACTAGTGGCAAACAGTGTCCACAGTCAGCTGTAGAGCTGTACAGCTCACCACAGAAGCCCACACTGGGTCCTCAGGAGACGTGAGTTTCTCTACTTCTCTTCCCCAGCCAGCTGCAGTGGCAGAGCTGCTGCCTTTGAGGAGGCAGCAGTCACCTTCTAGCCTGCTGGCCTCCCTCTATTGGTAGCTTTAGGATCTGACACAAAGTCCACTCATCACTCCTGCAAGGCTGAGTGACACTGTAACTCTTACATTCTTCATGCCTGCAAAGTCAAAATTACATGAACAACATCAAGGTATGCTGCCAGTGTCAGCAGTAGCCAGGACCACATGGACCATGCCTGCAGAGGCCTCTGAGTGGCCTCTGAGCATGGTAAAGTGAAACCCAGGGAGCCAATTCCCTTGGCAATCCTACAGAAGCAGGGAACACTAAATCTTTCTTCTCAAATGAAAGATTTACAATTTTATATCCTTAGCCTATGATGGGTGGGGTCTTGCTAATTCTAGATATACACTCAGGGCATCTTTCTTATTTTCCCAATACAAAGTTTTTGGCTTCTTTTTAATGGCACCAATCTCTTCAGCCATCACAACTTCTTTATACAGTTCTTTTCTGACCACACTGCAAGTTTTTTTAAATCTTTCTATTCGGCTTTTTGTTCCTGATTCTCACTGTAAATCTGGCTAAAGGAAGCCAGAAATATCCATATCATTGCTTGAAATCTATGCTGTCTTGAAATTTCCTCTACCAGATAAACTAGGCTGCCACCATTAAATTCAGCCTTATACAAAATTTCAGGGCATGGACAAAATGTAGGCAACTTCTTTGCAGAATGTAACACAAAAAGCCTCCAGTCCAATTCCCAAGAATCTTCATTCCCATCTGAGACATCATAAGCACAGACTTTATTTGTCTACATCCCTTTATTTGTCTATATTCTGGTCTTCTGAGTGCACACAAGAATCTGCTATTAAGCTCTGTTTACAAGGTTATAGGCATTGTCCAGCCTGCTTCTCAACACTTTTTCAAATTCTCCCAGCTAACCAGTTCTGAAAGCTTCTGAACTACATAGCAAAGATCAGTCACAGCAGCAACCCCACTCTCAGTATATTTCTCTGTGTGTGTGTGTGTGTGTGTGTGTGTTAGCTTTTCATCACTGTGACAAAATGTCTGAGAAAGCATGCTATTCCTGTTATGTAAAATCTAAAAAGGTGACAAGAAAGTAAAAGAGAGAATATTATTAGACAAGATGAATAAGAGGGAAGGGGAGGAGTATAAGAGTGGGTAATAGGAGGATGGATATGAGTATAATACTTAGACACATTGAAAACTTCCCCCCCAAAAAAGGGGAAATGGAGGGAGGGTGGAGCAAGAAGGGTGATGGGGTGAAAATGACAGTGTATGGTATGTGCGTGTATGAACCTCCAAAATGAAATCCATCAACTGTATAACCAATTCAAAAAGAGTGGAACAAAAAGGAAGAAAAACTTAATGGAGGAAGGTTTGATTTTAGCTCATGGTTTCAGAGGTTTCAGCTAATGGTTGGAAAGGAGCCCCCTCCTTCTTCTCTCCTTTCTTTCTTCCTTCTCTTCTCTCTCTCTCTCTCTCTGTCTCTCTCTGTCTCTCTCTCTCTCTCTCTCTCTCTCTCTCTCTCTCTCTGTCTCTCTCTCTCTCTCTCTCGGATGTGATGAAGAAGCATCTTTCCTCTGCCACATCATTTTGCTATAATGTTCTGCCTCACCACAGGCCTGAAGCAATGAAGCTGGCTGACCATGGACTGAAACTATCAGCCAAAATAAATCTTTCCTCCTTTAAACTGTTATTCTCAAGGATTTCATCACAATTGTTATGGCTTGTATCTAGATGTCCCCTCAAAGCTTCATGCAATCATAGGTGGGTCTTTTTCAGAGGTGGCTGGATCTAGAGTGTGTGATGCTGGGATTAAGGGTATGTGATTACTAAATTAGTACACTAATTGGTTTGGCATAGTTCTGGGTAGGATAAGGGTGCCCCGTTCTGGGTGTGAGTGCCATTTTTCCTAAGGGTAGGTAGCCTGGATAAAATATAAGGGACAGAAAGAGGGATAGTGCTGTTTGCCACTTGCTGCTTGCTGCCTTCTGCCTTCTGCCTGCCATGAACTGTTACCCCTTTTCCATGCTACTCTGCATTGGAACCAGTCAACTATGAACTGAAACCTCGGGCTGGGGTTGTAGATCAGTGGTGCCGTGCCTGTCTGGCAAGCACAAGGTCCTGAGTTCAATTCCTGGTACAAAAAAAGAAAGCTATGAACTGAAACCTCTACAATCTGTGAGCTCACTCACTTACCAAGCCTGGACTCAGGGGCAAAATGGCCCTCACCATCACCACATGTTGGGGCTCACAGTAGGGCCCTCTCCATGAAATCCCTTTAAAAACAATGATCCCATAAACTCTGCCATCCCTTTTACACTTTCACTCAGCAAAAAAAGGCCCAGAAACAGATTGACTGGTTTTCTGCCAATGTGTCTGCAAATGCTGTACACGGTCAAGCACTCACTTTGGGAAGCAGTATCCACTGCAGCTTGATGCCTTGGCTGAAACTTCCAACTTATTATCTTGTGTGGATCTCTCTTCCCCAGGAGGCAATTTCACTCTCAGGGAGGGCCAAGAATTTGGACTTCTGTACTTCCACTAAGAAAGAGTCATCATACTTTTCCTCTCCCACTCCACTCAGTGCACTTCTATTGATTTGCCTGCTTATTCCATGTATGTCCTTGGGCACACTCAGCCCTGTCCCTGCCACCTTATCCTCAGGTTGCCCATCACCGGTCCCTGTCACCAATAGGTGCCTTCTAATTGGTCTCCCTTCAGGCACTCTGGTCCCCAGAAATCCCACACTTTACATTAAAGCCAGGGCCAGCTTCTTTGTCATCAGTCTGATTGTATCCTCTTCTTCGTTCCAGAACTAGCTGATTCTCTGAAAATCAAAATAATGCAGTATGCTAATTAACTGTGCTGTCAACTTGAATAAGAAACACCCATCTGATTGGTTTAACACTGTTCTGGGTGTGTCTGGATGAAGTACGGAAGAGGGAAGATACACCCTGGGTGTGGGTGGCACAAATCAATAGGTTTGTAGCTTGGGAAAGAAGGAAGTCTCACTTGTGTTTCTTCAGAGAAGCTCCAATCTTTACCATTGCTGTCGGATGTCCATCTTTAGGCTTTCAGTCCAGACTCTTCAGCTTCCTGATACTCACAAAAGACTCTGCAGTGAGCTCCAAGTCTTTGACTTTTGACTGGATCCTTTGGCTCTCCAGCACACAGATGGCCCTTTTATAGTTCTCCATACCTGATTCTGCAGGGACCCATTGTAAGCCTACCTTGTAAATCCATGTAGCACTGACTGATGCACGTGGTTAACATGGCCTACCTCTTCTCCACAGGGTATTGCTTGTCCTGTGCTATAGCTTTATCCTTGCCCGGTTCCCCTTCCTTTTCCTAGCAAGAGCCACACAGAATTTCCTCAGGGTTCCAAGCCTCTCCTCATGCAGGGCCTGGGATTGCTCCCCCTGCTTCTCTACCTTCCTCTCCTAAGACCTCTCCACGTTTCTCAATCCCAGGTCATGCTGCTGGGTTAACCTCTCACAGCACTTGTAGCTCCCTGTAGTTCAGTTTGTAATTACACATTAGCTGTGAGATTTTTTATTACTTTCATTTCTCTGGTTAGACTCTGCTCTATGAATGCAATGACTCTGTGTGTCTTTGTTCCTAAATCCTTGATGAGCCTGGCCCACAGCAGTGGCTCAGAAAATATGTATTGAATGAATAAGGTGACAACACCATGTTTTTGATAAATGATATCAAATAAACTACAATCATCATCTGACTCCCAGCTCACTTACACATTTATTCATTCAAAAATATTTATGGAAGTCCTTCTTCTGATGGAAGATCAATGGCTCTTTTTCTTACTATAATATACTGAAAGACACTGCCCAGGTTGCAGGGAGTACCCTCAAATAGTTCCATAGGTTCCTTAGGTTCCATAGTTGCTTGCATGAGTGTTTTACATTTACATTTGTAATACAGTAATAAAACATTTAGACATCTCACAGCTGTCACTATAATTTTTCTTACAGAGGAAATGGGTTTTCTTTGAGAAAACATCTTCGGAAGGTGGTAGATGGAGGATGAACTGCAAGTTGGGCTCGGCAGACCTGGCACTCAGAGACTGCTTAAACTGCTGCAGAGAGGAAATAGAAGGAATGTGATCACTGTCGGGAGGGAGGTGGGGAGATGAGGACAGGGAGGCAAAGAAGGATGAGAGGGAAGACAGGGGTCAGAGCAGTGGAACTGGGCCAGGCCCCGAGGAATGCCTATGTCGGGAGGCTGCCCAGACCACGGGAAGCTGCCCTCCCCTATTCCCTTTCACTCTGGAACCTGTGACAACTGACACTAAGGAGAGGGCTGAATCTGATGTCTGAATGGTCAACAGCCAGAAGGAATAAACAGCCCCTAAACAAGTCTGAAGGCAAAGAGGGCACAAAAACACCAGTCCTTGAGAAATTTTATGGAAAAGGCTTGCAACTTTCTAAAGAAGCACATCTGAGGTATGCAAGCCATCTTATCTGTTTGCCCATGAATTTGAAAAAAAAATGATTTGGTTCTATTATATGTGCACTCACACAGACTGACATAAAAATTTGTTATTGGTGGTGGGTTTTTCTTAAGTTCTGGGGATCAAACATGGGGCCTCACTCATCCTAGTCAAGCACTCTGCCGCTGAGGTATAACCCCAGCCCTGTTTCTTCATGAGGTGTTATTACTATTCAAGTGCCTTTGATGTGACTTTGGATCTTGATAGAGAGGTTTTACTTAGAGAGAGCAGGTTTGAAGAGCTGTAGGATCTGTGTCTAAGCATGAGTGTATCTCAAACTTCTCCTGCTCCAGGTAGCTCCAGCCCCTAGGGACCTTCTTCCCTGCTAATGAAGTCCCAAGGTCCTCTCTCCATGTCCTCATGTACTCTTGACTGTCAGTTCAGCACTCCACTTTACTTTGCATTGATCTCACCTTTGAGCCCATCCTGTGAGTCCACTGCCTCCCCTGCTTAGATTGCCACTTCTGCCAGACACCATAGGTCTTCCCCAACACTTCCCAAAGATGTGCCCGGATGGTCTTGAGCTCCTGAGAACTCCTGACAACCTCCCCTCACTGGGCTGTGCTGCCATTAGCCCAGTACAACCCAATCCACACATACACACATACATGGAGAGATACTTACACACACACACACACACACACACACACACACACAGCCAGACTCTTTGCCTGATGAACCACTTGATTGGTTTTATTGGGTAGAAATTAAGGGTCTTTCAAACACAGTGACAGACACAAAGTACCCTGATAATATTTTTGGGCCCAGAGTGCCAGCCATCACTGCAAAATCACTACTCAAGGACAGTCACACGCAGCTAGAATTATATTGCTGGAGTTTTATGAACCAAATGCTCCCACAATAATATTTGCATAAAACTAGGGTAGTGGTGTGACCTCTTCTCCTCAAGTCTTTCCAACTGACACAACTTGTTTCTCACCAGGGCCAAGGGGAAGGCAAATCAACAAAACAAGATGTTGCTCTACATCCCAGCAAATGCAGTGGACCTCCCTTTCTTTCTCCAGTGAAAAAGGCTCCATGGAGTACCGCATAGCATGACTTGGCTCTTGGAAAGGAAAGCAGGGAGGAATGGGTCAAGCAATGGATAGAAGCCATTCAGAGATGAGTCACTACCACCAAGCCCTTGGGACAAGCTCCTCTGTCTGCCACCCAGGCAGGACCTCTGGGCTGAAGCCTCACCAGGTACAGAGCTGCAGACAATGGGCAAGCAGCTTCCTTAGCTTCTCTGCTGCCCCCAGGATCTGTCCTGGTTTTGTTTGGAGAAGAGATGGCAGGGAATCAATTTCAGATGAACCACTGAGCAACCCAAGGTCCTCTTTAGATGAAATGATCATTTAAAAAATACATTCACATGTACACTTATTTCATAGTTCTGACAATATGACATTGTTATGGCTCTCTGCAGGGAAGTCAGTCCTATCCAGAAAGGGAATCTGCAAGCCATCTAACCCCTGCCACCTCCCTAACTCTTGTGTGCAGAGAGTAGGGCCCTCAGAAAAGACTGGTTGCCTCACAAAGTGACTTCCACCCTAGGAACTTGCTCAGAAGTCAGCCACAATGAGGGCCAAGCATCACCCCAGAAAAATATATAATAGGACTGGCTCCCAGGGTCTAGCAGGAGCTGTCACTCAGGACCCACCAGCTTCCTCACAAGTGGTCACAGCAGTGGGGTGGACTGATGTCACGGGACCCAATGCCCACTCCCTCCACACTTCCATTTTATTTAAGTCTGTGGCCCTGGTGACTGTCAAATACAACTGCCTCCCTTTGCCCCACCAGGAACTTTCAGCCGGCACTGCTGGGTGCCCTAGCCTTGGCCTCCAGGCAGGAATGAATACTCAACAAGCCCCTCCAGAGACAACGCACAGGGTGCGAGTCCAAGGGTAAGGCCTAGACCTGGACCATACTCCGGATCAGCTAGATCACCCCAATGAGAAGAAAGCCAGAACAGGGGCTAGAGTAGGACACTGGCCACCTCTCCCTGCCCTCTAGCCTCTCCCACTTTGGGAAAGCTTGTGCACCCAAGGGGAGACCTCCACCATTAATCACAGGTGACCTGGGCATGGCACCACCATCTTCTTGGACTGGAGTCAAATAGGACTGCTACTGTCTGCCCTATCCTCCTCCCAGGATGCAACAAAGCCCAGTGAAAAATGGATGGTGAAGGTGTTTAGAAAGTGGAAGTGTTCACTTGTGAGCAAACAGTCATATTTTTAAGTTCATACATGAACCCAGGCCTGAGCTGCTGCAGAGGCTGCCCTGGCTCTAGCAAGCTTCCTCCCATGTGCAAATAGCTCAAGTAGAGCAGAGGTACAGAAAGAGGATGTCCTGGCCAAGCCATCAACACAACACAAGGTCCCTTTGAGGTGTGAAGGTAGAAGGGGCCTGTTTCTTATTTCTTGAGAGAGAGGTAGCAGTAATTGCCACTGTCTGAAGGGAAAGGCAAGTAGAAGAGAGGCCATTTACTGATCTCAGATGTCCTGCATCACCAGATAATGAGCTATTTCACCTACAGGAACTCTGAGGTCACTGAAGACTGATCTTTTAAGCACCAAGACTTTGATGACCATGCTATAAGTGTTTGGGGATGGAAATAATTCTACAGTGGATAAGATCCCTGCTTGCCTTCATAAAGACAGTATACTGTTTTGTGTGTGGCTGTGGATGTCAAAGGCTGAATGGAGCAGAAATGCTCTGTTGATCTGGAGGGTGTTACAATCTCCCTAATATCCCTGCTCCTCCATTTGGTGGCCTCCAGTCACATGACAGTTGCTGACATACATGGATTTGGTCTTTGTAATACATTCACTATTAGACTATTAGCTGCTATTTCTTGCTATATCTAGCACCTGTTATCATTCTCTTCATTTGCTTCATTATTAAAAAACCAAGACCAAGTTCACTAGAATTGAATTTAAAATTAAAGTGAAAGGCAAGAGGGATTCATTGTTCAAAAATGGTTTGGCCTTTGATACACAGCGTTACAGTATCTATTTCTGGGGTTCAAAATTCATTTTCCTTCCTCTGAGTCTTCAGCTACCTTGGGGCTGAGGGAACTTGCTGGTAAGTAGATCTGGGAAGTGAAGTGTGCTATCTTCTTGTTTTAGTAAAATGGTAACCATTTTCTCTTTTAATAAGTTTTTCAAGATCTTCGGGTGTTCTTGCGAACTTGGTGGATTAATGCTGCATTCTGAGCTGCCACAGGGTTGAAGCTGCACCTGCCAGGGACATCTTCAGAGCAAAGAATTTGCCTGTGGTTGGAGATGAAAGCAGACACCAGGTACTAACTGTTTCAACTCAAGTTTTTCCAAAGGCAGGTAGAAAAGGAAGAGGATAATGAAGTAGGGCCACACCAGCCTTGGCCACTGTAGTATGTTCCTTCATTGTCACTTTGCAGGTATACTTTGAACACGTTTTCTGGGTATGTTCTACTTTCAGCCAGGTGGGCAGGTAGGTCCTCCCTATGCTACAGTGTGCCATGGGGGACTCGGATCCTACCCCAGGACTAGCCACAAAATGACCTCCAAGCTCGAGTCACTCACCTCTTGGTTCTGATCACAAAATGCACCCTAATTCTAGGCACAGATGGATACAAATTTTGGGCACACTGAGTTTCCTAACCTTGGGAGAACTCTGTTACTTTGCTGTAGAAATATTTCATCATGTTTATTTAAATGTTTAAACTGTTCAGAAGAAGAAAGGCCCAAATTAGATTTGGGGGAAGGGGCCTCCAACCAAGAAAGATAATGTGGCAGAACTGGGACAATGTAGTTGAAAGATCACCCAGGGCAGTGGTCCTCACAGTGTATCACCAGATCACGGGAACTTGCTAGACAGGTTCCACACCAGCCTTCTTAACCCTGAAACTCCAACAGGGCCCCGAACTAATGAGCTCAGGGTTGAGAACACAAATTCTAGAGGAGATAAAACTTGTATATCAAAGCTGAACGGATCATTTAGTTGAAGGAATTGAGTGACTTCATTACCAAGGGGACCATCTTCAGACTGGAAGGAGACAGTCACTGATTTCTGGCTTTTGGGGCAAAAGCTAAGGCTTACTTGGGTCTATTTTTCTCCCTTTTTCTTTGAATGAAAATTTTAAAAGCTCCACCGTAGAAATTATGCAGGAAGAAAATGTTCAAAGACTTCTAACAAATTGGCAAGACTGTCGTCACTGAGGACCCAAGCTGGCCAGGACAGCTGAATCCTCTGGCAAAGCACGAGTAGGTCTGCACTTGGCCTTGGCAAACTGAGGGCCCAGAACAACTGCTCAAAACAAAACAAAAATCAGAATTCTGCTAGAGGAGCCCAGAAAACAGTTGTCATTTGAGAGCAGCTTGTACCTTACTAATTCTTTACATTTAGAAAGTGTGCTACAGTAAGTGAAATAAGCCTGCCAAAAGAAAAAAAAGGACAAATATTGCATGATTCCACTTACACAAGGACCTACAGCAGAGAAAGCCATAGAGACAGAAAGAAGAGTGGTTGCCAGGTTGAGGAGGGAGAGGAAATTTGTCATCATTTAATGGGTTCAATTTTTTAATTTTGAAAAATGAGAAGATTTCTAGAGATTCATTCCACATCAATGTGAATGTCCTTAACACTACTAAACTTCACACTTAAAAATGTTTACACTGGTAAATTTTATGTTTGTGAATTTTACTACAATTAATAATTTTTTAAAAAGACAGAAATCTTTGTTAGTGGTGAAGCAAAACAGAATTAGTAAGTGTTATAGATTGCTGGAGATTTGATTTTTGTTGCTAGGTTTACAGTAGGTTCTATTTTATATTTGTAGAAAACACAGCAGTTGGATTGTGGGCCAAAATTCTTATTTTCATTCTTTTCCCACTCAAGACTCCAGTCTGGATTTCAAGCCAGATGCAGCTGCTCACCCACAAACAGGTGTGCATGCAAGGCCCAGGCAGGGATGTCACACATGCTGACTGCTGGGCATCACCACTTCGATCTGGATTCTGAGTCCACTGGTTTAACAAACACCTAGAGGACTGTAATGCAGAGGACCTAAGGTCTACCTTTGAGGAATACACTGCCTCAATTAGGATGTCTTGTAGACTACTCAGCCTCATTTGAGTAGACCTCCCAAAGACCAGGAGGTCCACCCTGCTGACCCTACACCCTTAGCCTGCCTTCACCTGACCCATGAGCCACAACTGGCCTCCTCCTAGAGGAGCATTCTGGCTGCAGAGACAGGGGAGGGTGTGTTGAACTCAAAGTAAGACCACTGCCCGCTTCCCCCAAGGGAACAACTCCACGCTCCTACCCTTCCACTGGGTATTTACAGCAGACATTCTGCAAAGCCCAGTTCATCTGTTTCCCACCCCTCCAAAAAAGCATTTTCCTCTAGTTTTTTGAGACACTATCGATAAATACTTTGTATACAGCAACCCACCTTGAACCTCAGCTGCAGTAATATAAGATTCTGACATATCTGTAAAGTTTAGAAGATGGGAAGTAAGGGAAAGGAAGAAAAGCAGAGGATGTCTGTCCCTTCTTTCGTTTGAGTTAGAGAAACAGGACTGCTTAGCAAGCAAGAACCAGATGAATAAGATTATGGAGGGGGGGTGGACTAAAATAAAGGAGAGCAGGACTGGGCAAGGCCCCACTATACAGACAGTTCAGCCCCTGGGCCCCAAGCTTGCCAAGGACCAACAAGGGGAGGCTCTGCCTTCTTAGAATGTACTAGGCAAAAAGAAAAGAAAGGAAAAGAAACGAAACTCAGCTAACCTCAGCTGGCAATTTTCCCACAGTTTTTCTTGGTTTATTAGTGGAGTCTCCCAAACCACTGGAGCCCACTAGGAACCAGAGACCTCATTACTGGAGTAAATGTGTGGCCCTGTGCCAATTCGGGGGACACAAAGATGAGCCAGATATCAGGTTTTCCCTGTGGGAAAAGCAGATCCTCTACCAAGGACACAGGGTGTCCTTGACACTTATGACATTTATGCTGTGTCCTCAGAGGGTATCAGTAATGGTCACAGCAGAAGCACAGAGAAAAGAGTGTCCAGCCTGGTACAGGGAGGGGAGATGGCAAAGGTCATAACCTGACATCATCTGTGAAAGTGGTCAGACAAGAGGAGATGCGGAGGAGGAAGGGTGTGTGGCCATTCCTGGCATCCTGGAAGGACAGTGCCTGGAGGGGTGTGGGAGGAGGTGGGCAGGAGGGTCTCAGAGAAAAGGGAGCCAACTTGGGATGTAGCTTGTAGGACTTGATAAAGAACCTGGGTGTCATAGTACAGGGAGGCATTGGCCCCAGGAAACATATTTCAGATGGGAACTCTGAAAGCAAAAAGGTCAGTCAGAAGGTCCTGCATTAGTGCAATGACATAAGGGATGCAGGAGGGAATGAACCCAAGAGATATTTATGATTGGACTTGACAAAAGCTGTTGAGCAAATAAACATAGAGGGTGAAAAGGACGAGGTTGACCAGAGCAGAGGGAATATATGCTGCGTGTCCAGCTAGAGTTGGCACTGTGCTGGACAGTGTGCAACACTATTTCCTTCCTTTCTTTCTTTTTCTTTCTTTCTTTCTCTCTCTCTCTATTTTTGGTATTGGGGGCTGAACCCAGTACCTTTGCACTGAGCTACATCTCCAGCCCTTTTTTATATTTTGGAGATAGGGTCTCAGAAATTGCACCACTTGGGCTCGAACTTGCACTCCTCCTGTCTCAGCCTCCCAGAGTGCTGGGCTGAGAGGTCTAAGCCACCATGCCCAGCCATGCAACACTATTTCATTCAACCTTCACAATAGCTGATGCAGTTGGAGCCCTGTCCTCATTTTTGAGATAATGAATCAGAGCCTCCAGGGGCTTTGGGAGCATCCCAAGGTCACAAAGCTGCTAAGCAATGGGAGGAGGTGCCAGAGTCCAGGTTTTTCTTTTAACTGCAGCAGTTGAGGGCAGGTTGAGGTTTGAACTGCGGAGCAGATGTGCCTGGGGCGCCAGTGGTCACACCCCAGATGCTCCTGGGGCCTGGCCTGCAGGGGCAGGGGGCTAAGATGAAAGGGCAGGAGATGCTGGGAGCAGTGAGTAAATGGAGTTTCTGCAGGAGACTCCCAGAGAGAGAAGAGAACCCTGAGGAAGCTTCACAGTAGAGTCACAAGGAAGCCTGAGGAGAAGCGTTCAGAGAGGCCAGGTAAGAACAGATTGGTGTACACAGGAGAGAGAACTTCAAAAAGACCAGAAAGACCACCGCTGTCTAATGCTGCACAGCCGCCAAGGATGAGACCTGAGAATTCACCCCTGCCTTGGCAGTGACAACCTTTACTCTGCCAATTTTAGGGTTCAGAACTGACTCTGCCTCCCCTTCCTCTCCTCTCCCGGGTAACTGTCCCGTCAGAAACTTCACGACACTCTGCACCGAGAGCTCCAGTGTGTTTGTTGGCCGCTCCATTTACCATCCACACACACACCAGACTATGCACCTGGGGGACTGGGAATCTGCTTCTGATCACCACTTGTTCCCTGGCCCCTAGCAAAATGCTTGGGACAGAATGAGCACTCGGTAGATACTGGGCGAATGACTGGTGGAAGGTGGCACTCTGGTCTCCCTTTGTTGTGGAAATCACTGCCTCCTCCTCCTCAGCAAAGTCCAAGGCCAGGATCCTCTCTGTTATCTGCAGCATCAGGCGATTAGTGACAGAGTTGCTGCCACAGCGTTGCTGAACTGGTCCCAGAGGTCTGTCTGACCTTGAGTCACCTTCTTTCCTGCTTGGTTAAGCATTGAGTCATCCGTAGTGTTTTGCTGCCTTTCAAGCCTGGAGCAGTGGGTTTAGCAGAAAGGAAGACATGATAGCTGTTTTGTTCATGGGAAATTGATTTCCTCTAAGAATGTAACTGGCAGTCTGCACCTCACAGAGGGACAGTGGCAGGGCTGCAGAGAAGCACGGAAGAGGGCTTCCAGAATCAATGCCCAGATTTCTCCTATAAACACTGGCTGGAGGAGAAAGGATGTGGCCTGAAAGTCAGGCAACTGCATGAGTCCCAGTTGAGCCTCTAGCTGGCCATGTGGCCCTGGGCAAGTCACTCATTTTGCCATAATACATACCCTTTCTGGGCATCTCTTCCCACCCAAAGCATGTGAAGTTGGCCTCAGTTCCCCTCCAGGACTCTTGTAAGTGGCCAGTACTGTTGCAGGGGGCAGGGCTGGGAGAGGGACCAAGAGCAGATACTGCCTTCTACACCCAGGACAGCTCCCCAGAGCATCTGTTCCTAGGGCAGGACCTAGTACTACCCTGTGGAGGCATCTCTATTGGGATCTCTCTTGTTCTAGCCCTGGCAATACCAGCTGGGGAGCTAAGACTGATGTTTGAAGGTCAGGTTTTGGGGTCCTACAGACATGAGTGCAGTGCTTTCCCTTGGGTGCCTGATCATGGACAAGTCCCTGAGTTGCCCTGAGCTTCACCTCCTCGCCTGTACCATGGAGCCTCCTTATCTGAGGGCCTTGTGATAATGGACAATGATACAGGGAAAGGCCTCAGTGCAGGGCTGAGCACAGAATGAGAGTGTGGTCAATCTTAGCTATTTCGATAATAAATAGTAGTTATGGCTTTCATCCATACATCATGACTGCTTTTAAAAATGAAGATTGTAGAGACTCTAGAGATCTTTTCTAAGCCTCTCATTGTAGAGATGAGGAAATGGAGACCCTGAGAGAGAGACGGAACTTGGTCTAAACCCACAGGCATAATTATGGCCATAAGTGAGGTGTCCAACTCTCACCTGGGATGGATCTCAGTGCTCCTGCAAGGGCCATGGCTGGAACAGATTCCATCCCAATACCTTCAGCTATGGAGATCCTAATGTCTGACTCACAAAGGCTCCTGCCCCAACACTGTCCACCCAAACCACACCTGGTCCCCAGAGGGCCTCCTGTAGAGGGTCTGTCACACTCAGTAGAGTCCAGGGTGTGACTTGACAAGGTCCCTTCCCTGACCCAGCATGTTTGCTTAAATGGGACAATTGGTCTTTAAGAGCCTTCCAGTTCTGACATTTCACAGTTTCAGGAACTGGGTTCAACTAACTGAACAGTGGCTAGAAATCTCAGTTAACTGAAATCTTCCCCAGAAGTTCCTTCCTTGGGAGAACTATGCAGAGCCCAAGAAAGCAGTCGTCATCCACTGTCCTGTATAGTTGATCCCATTTCCCAGCTGTTTGGGCCTCTGTCTCTGTGGCTGCTCCTGTTTTATTGACCAGCAGACTGGGGCTCAGGGCAGCATGGGGCTCCCACTCCAGACCTGACCTCAAAACACTGGTGAAAATCAGCATCCAGTACAGCCCAGAGCTCAGCACCACCCACTTGCAAGAGAGCCCAGAGAAGAAGGCCTGGCAGAGAAAGGAGTCTGAGCAGGAGCTTGGAGGGCCACCCAGTGCTCTCCTCTCTCTTTCCCAGCTGGGCCTGTGGCTTTGCCTGTTAAACTAGGTGATCAGGTGGAAGAAGCCTGGCTCCCTGCAGTATTCTCTGAGCAGCTCTGAGCAGGGGCTGTTGGCATGGCACACAAACCTGCAGAGTGTGTATGATCTGTCTCCACCCCTAGAAAACAGAGCTAATGTCCTTGTCACTATATCTTCCCTAGCCCAACCATGGACCAGAGCAGAACAGTCTTCCCAGAAATGTTCAAGGGAAGCAGGAAAGAAAGAAGGAAGGGAAGAAGGGAGACCAGAAGAAAGGAAAAAAGGAAGAGAGGGAAGGGGGAAGGAGAGAGAGCTGGAGTCTTCTAAACACTAACACTCTACAGTTCCACAAAGCTAAATTCAAAGACAGTTCACCAACAGTGTCTATGAGGCACAGTCACACTCAGGATGGAAACACAGCAGGGGAAACAAAGGAAAGAATTTTGTATGTGACAGACATGTGGTCACTCAGCATAGGCACAGTTGACTTCCCAAAGCCTGGCCCTGGAAGTCCCTGAATGCGAAGGCGCTAGGCATGCACTGTGGGGTCCCGCCTTCCCAGGAGAAGCCTCAAGGATGCTGGTATCAGAGGCCCCACTGGCTTCTGTCCTCCGAGCCCATATATGACAGGCAGCACTTTCCGACAGATGGTACCCATTCAGAAGGATGATACAGCAGAGTCTGCAGTACTCAGGAACATAAAGAGGAACAGCACTTCATAAATAACTTCTGGTTAAAAATGAAGCTGAAAATAGAGACAGAAGAGGAAGCAAACTGCTAAGCACTTATTAAGTCAATAATACTGGCTTGGAACCCGAAGTGCAAATGGCTGGGCTGGTTTCTTTCCTTCTCTTCATAAGCTCAAAGGCAAGATGAAACCCAGAGGCACCAAGACTGTGTCTGTGTTTCCCAGGAAAGGTTTGTAAAGATGTGGCTCTCAGATGCTGGCGTCTCAGGGAAGATGCTAACACTGGCCTTGGTTAGATGTCACTGAGGAGCCTGACGAGCTCAGCGGGGTGGTGTGACTGGGTGGCCCAGCTCTGGGCGCTCTGAGCCACTGAGTCTTCACTGGAAGGTCAGGCCACTGGGTTGATCTCTGTGTTCTGAGATTTTGGATAGAAACTGATGGCTCAGTCCTCAGTATAACACTCAGGAAGCAGAGGTCTGAATAAAATCTTAACTGTGCTCAAGTGTCCTGTCTCCTCCCTCTAGACCATCCTCCCTGGGCCTGCCTTTGGCTGCTACAAGGCCACGACAGTTTGTGCTCTCTGAAAGCTGAAATCTCGAGTGGAAATGTGCTTTTTTCACTTGCAATCCCCAGGTTCCCTGGTTCAGGGTCATGGCCCAGCAGCATGCTCCCCGTGGACAGGTGGAGGCACAAAGGGAAGCCCAAAAGGGTTAGGACTGAACGTGAGTCTGGGCTGGCCCCATCCCTGCCACCTTGCCCCAGGGCCCAGGCACGGAGCTGAACTACTGAGGGAGCAACAGCCAGGCCCCACTTAGCGGTTCCCAGTTCCAGAGGCAGGGAGAGGAGGAGGAGAGGAGGTTCGTCCCCCAGCCTCAGCAGCAGCTGCAGGGACCCGTGTGTACTCGGAGGATGCCGCGGCTGTGCAGGTGCAGGAAGTTGAAGATCTCTGAGGGCATGGCGTGGAAGCCGGGGCGGGGCTTGACGTTGTCATAGTAGTGGTGGGTGATGTAGAGGCCCGAGGGGTTCATGGGGAAGGCCCAGAAGCCAAACAGGTGCACCTCCTCGCAGAGCTCCAGCGCTGCGGTGACCAGGATGAGGCCGGTACTGATGCGCTTGGCGCGCACCCCCAGGCTGAGCCAGTAGCGCGACACGTTGACCAGGTACTGCGGGTGGAAGTAGTAGACGGCCTGCGGCGAATCGAAGTCGTCCAGCACGTACTTGACGCGGAAGGACACGTCGGTGTTGCGTGTGTTGTAGAAGGCGGGCAGCAGCACGGACGCATTCTCATACACCTGCAGCACACGGTAGAAGGGCCGCCGCCACTTCTCCAGCTTGTGGAACCTGCGCAGAGAAGAGAGTGGAAGAGAGTCGCCCTGCACCCGTGGGGAAGGGGACTCAGGGTCACGTCTGCCAGTTCACTCCTCGCGCACCTCAGCAGACGAAGAGTGGTCTTGGTCTTGAAGAGTGGTCTTCGTCTTTCTCGGGGACACTTCCAGTTTTACAAGGACGGGAGGGGTGGGGAAGGGGGAGTGGTTGGGAAGCCAGGATTTCCTAGGGCACTGCCATCTCTCCCTAGCACTGTCTTCCCCAAGGTCCTCTGTGATGCGCCCAAATGTAACTGCTTGTCCTGGCTCAGACCTCCCTCTCGGCTCCTGCTCCGGCTCTCAGCCTCTGGATCTGGCACCACACCTTTCCCAGCACAGAGAACTGCCCTGTCTTGCTCATCCCTCTTCCGAAGCTCCTCCATAGGTGACATTGCGGGCTCTCCAGGGATCTGATGCAATTTAACAAGTTCCTGCCCACTCCTTCCCTCCCCTTCTCTCCCTTTGCCCCTCCTCACCTCTCCTCCCTTCCCTCCCTTTCCCTCTCCTCTGGATCTTCCTCTCCACTGCCCCTCCCTACCTTGACCTCACCTGGATGGCCTAAACCCAGTGTCAGGTTTCAACGCCCCTCCCTGAGACCTCCCGTGCAGACCCTCCTGGGGAGCTAGATCTTTGCATGGAACTTCTGTGTCACCTGGATGCACCAGGGAGGACACTTCCTGCCCTGGTCACACCCTGGAGGCTCCTGACCCATCCCCAGGTGACAGCAGTCTAAACCAGCACTGTCCAAAAGAAACAGAATGTAAGCCCCAGGTGTAATGCTGAGTGTTCTAGCAAGCACGTTCTGGAAATGGAGGAAATTTTATATTTTATTTAATCCAATATATTAAAAATACTATAATTTCAACATTAATATAAAAATATTTAAAAAACCACTGTTACATCCCTTTGTTTGTATTAAGTCTTGGAAACCAATAGTGTGTTTCTGCCGACAGCCAGCAAATCTCAGCCTGGACAAGCCCCATTCCCTACATGTGACTGTGGGCTACACAGGACCATACAGCTCCAGAAAGAGGGCCACTGACCTCTCTGTGATGATGCTGGGGTTCACAGTGACCACGTCTGTCTTCACCCCCACATCCACGGTGTATTTTTCAGAGATGGGGGGCAGGTTGCACCTGCAGAGGAGACAGGTAGCCCAACACAGGTGGAATCATTCTGCAGGTGGCCAGGGAGGGGCAAGGGGAAGGCAGGGGTGGCAATCACACGAGCAGAGGGATGAAGAGGCTGACCTCTGGGTGGGACCTCTGTGGCCAGGTAACAAGACATTGTTTCTTCTGCTAAGTCAGGCATGGGGACAGCAAACAGACTTGGGCCCTGGTTTTGCTAGAGTTCCAGGCATGGGGCAAAGAAACAACCATCTGAAACATGTTACAAGCTGCTACAGTCCTGAGCCTCTGGAGGACAGGGTCAGGGCCCTAAGTGGACAGGGGAGCAGCCCCTTAGCTGGTGGCTGAAGAAGACTTCTCTGAGGAAGCAACCCTTAAACTGAGGTCAGAAGGAAGCACACTAGCAAGAGATGGACCAACTGAGTGAGAGATGTGTGCAAAGATGGATCTTAGAACTGCAGAACCCAGTGACAAGCAAGTTGCAGGGAGTTCACAAGGAATGTAGTTGGTAGAAAGCCCCTGTGGTAGGGAAAGTCATGGCCCCCAACAATGTCCTAGTTCCTAAAACCTGTGAACATGGACCTTACAGAACAAGGCAGAAGGGAGACTGCAGCTTCAATTATGGGAAAGATCTTGAGAAGATTATCCGGGACTATCCAGATGGGTCCAGTGTAATCACAAAGGTCTTTGTAAGAGAAACTGATGTGACTGACAGTGAAGGAGAGAGAAGAAAACATGTGACAACAGAATCAGAACCAGACTGGAAGAGACTGCATTACTGGCACTGAAGGGGCCCCAGCCAAGGAATGCAGGCAGCATCTAGGTGTGGACAAGGAAACTGATTCTTCCTAGATCCCCCAGGAGGAATGAAGCCCTGCCACCACCTTGACTGTAGCCTGAGACTTCCAACCTCTAGGGCTGTGAGGTGATAAAACTTGTGTTGTTTCAAGCCACTGATTTTGCAATTTATTATAGCAGCAGTAGGAAGCAAACTCCAAATAAGTAAAATTTAGCAATAAAGTATTCAGGGATACATCAACATGTAATAACAGTTTTTTAACAATGAGGGAATATTAGTACAAAATTTAGAGTAATTATTACCTTTGAGGGAAACCGGTAAAATGAAGGAGCACATCAATTGATACAATGGCTCTATGCAAACATTCCACTTCTTAAATGAAGTGATTGGTTTACAGATACTTATTTTATTGATTTGATATATATATGATACAAATATTCTCTTCATCAAATGCTACATAATGAGAACAGTGAAAAAGAGTGGATGTTAAGTGGGAGAATTTGCAGACCGTGAACATTTCAGTCAGAGATCCAATGCAAAAGCCCTATGGTGGAAGAGAAAAGGAGGCCTCCAGGAGTGACTGGCACATAGAACAAGGGGAGTGGTGGAAGCTGAAGGCAGGGAAGAAACAAGGGGCTAGACTCTTTCCAGGAGAAGCCACAGGCCTAAGGAATAGTTATAAGAAGAGCCCTTTATAACAGGACAAGGACTATCACCTGTCTTATAATCCAATCACACCTCTTCTATCAGACCATGATGGAAGAAAGGCTCCTTTGTATTCTCCTTAAAGACATGCATGTGTACATGTGTGTAGTTGACTACCATTTAATGAGCACCTATGACATGAAAGGAACTTTCATAGAATCATACAAGACATCAGTAACCCCAAGGATTATTGCAGATGAGTAACTGGGCATTTAGAGAGATGAAGGCACCTGCTGCTATGACATGGGTGAGGCAGAGTTTGGCACCCAAGCCTAGGACTCTTTTCCAATACCATACCATCTGGCAGGGGTATCACCTGGAGCATGGCAGAGACTCCTGCCTCTTGAGTGCACACAGCAGCACTCAGTAAGGCTTTGCCATTGCAGCACTGCCAGGGCAAAGGTAATGATGGCAATGAAAGGACCCATGGTGTCTCCAAAACTACTCCAAACATTTACATGCCACAACAGGTCCCAGCCATCGAGACAGAGAGCACCTTGGGGGAAAGTTTTCTGTTCCATTCTTGAGCTCCAGGCCTGTTATGGAAGAACAGGAGGAAGGCACGGCCAGGACCACATCTCTGTCTATGATTGTGCCTATCCATGTGATCCTCATATACAATGGCCCCCCCAAATTGTTTTTCAATGGGAATAATATTAAAAGGCAGTATTTTTTTCTACCATAGTCCATGTTCTGCATTGTTTGAAAATCTTACTCTAAATGAGTATTAATTCATGTAATCTACACACATACACACCCAGAGCTTATCAGCCATCTCAGAAAACAGAGGGAGAGTGGTTAGGTCATTCACAAGTGCAAGGTGCCACAGTCCCTAATTCAAATCCAGACTGCCGGCCTCAGAGCCTGTGGATATAATCACTCTGTCACATGCCTGGACTGAAGTTCAGGAGGACCCCAGAGACCTAGGCAACTCCCTGAAAGACCATCTTTCAAGAGGAGGCCTCCCTTGCCTCCCTTGCAGAGCTGGGTCAGACTCAGCCCTGGAGTGGGGGAACACTGTGGTGTTGGAGGACTCAGCCTCAAGGTGGACTCTTTGGGTGTACTCGGGGAGTATGCAGCTGACTCGAGACTGCCAGGCAGGTGTCTCTAACACATGTCACCCACACATCTATGGTGGTTATGCTACTTCCAAGCCTGGAGCAGGGTGTCCTTGGCTTCCTTCTTCTGGGAACAGAAGTCTGGGTTTGCATGGTCACATCGTGGAAGCTGCCTTTCTTTTAGGACCTCCAGTTACCCCAATCCTCCACTACCTTCATTTCCCGCCACTAGTTCTGAGTGGCCCAAGGATAGTGGATCCACAGCCCATGAGATCCCACTGCAGGCTCAGTCCAAGGCTCTTTGCCTTGGGCTCTTATTTTCAACCCATCATCCTTACCCAGGCTAAAGAGGAAGGTGAGGATCCCTAGAGAGAGAGGGAGGCACTAAATAAGGAAAAAGAAACCCAAGGACCCATCTCCAGCATAGTTAAAGCAGAGTGAAGCTAAGAGCCTGTTCTGGTTCCCAGAAGTGCTTGTGAGGGGTAGAGTCCAGCAAAGGAGGTGGCCACCCCAAGGACCCCACTGTTAGATCTGCTGGCCTACATGGGGTCAGTGTCTTCAAAGTCCTTTGCTCATTACATGCCTCTGCTCTGCAGATGTGGAAACTGAAGACCTGAGAATTCAGCAGCTTACCCAAAGGAACAGGGCTGGAGAGAGGAAGGGACTCTGCAAAGTGTGAGGGTGTGCAGGGCAGGGAGTGAGCATTAAGGCCCAGGGTGGGGCCGCATATGATGGAGGAGAACTAGGGCAGTTGGCAAGGGGAGGCTGGGTGGTTCTCCTACCGGAAGACGAAGTCAGCACTATTGATCTCCCGTCCGCAGCGGCTGTTCTTGAGGATGCCTCCGTTGCCCACCACTGCACACTTCTTAAACTGAGACCGGTAGTAGGGCATGTCCTGGGGGATGGGAGAGGACAGGCACAGCTGTCAGAGCCAGCACTAACCCCACCCTCACTGGGGCTTCCATCTCTGTAACCACATCCATCTTTGTGAGCTCCTGGCCCCAAGAGACAGCCTCAGAGGGAATGTGAGAGACAAGCGTGTGTCCACTTTACAGATGAGTAGAGCAGGCAAGACGCTTGTTACTGTTAGTGGCTCCAAAGGTCCCTCCCATCTCTGACACCCAGGGCCTACTGGGCAGCTGGCCTCCTAGCTACCACAGCAGCTGGACAGCCCTTCAGGACAGGGGGTGGCCAACAGCGTGGGCTTCTGGTGAGACCAGCTGCCGGGAAGAGCCTCATGGGGAATCAGGCTGAATCTGAAGGTGATGCTGCACCCATCTTGGGGAGACTACCCATGGTCATGGTCCCCTTTTCCAGGAGAGACAGGACAGGGGCCCAGGACAGGGGAGGCACATGGATTGTACCGCCACTGGGGGAAACTACACTGACTTACCAGAGGAAAGAAAAAAACTCAAAGTCATCTTTGGAAATACAATCCAAGACTTACTATATTTTATATGGGTGTTTCCCAAATTTCTGTAAATCAAGAATTATCTGAAAAACATCAATTTCTAGGCTTCAGTCAAGAACTATGTAATCAAAATCTCCAAGGTGCAGATAGCAGGCTGAGAAGCAGAATTTCCTACAAACACAAATGAATACATGCTTCAAGGGCAATTTGGGAAATGCCATCCTACATCAAATGCTCTAATTTGGGGATCAGCGAATTATAGCCCAAGGGCCACATCTGGCCTTCTACCTGTTTCTGTATGACTCAAAGCTGAGAATGTATTTTACATATTTAAATGGTTGGAAACAATCTGTTTTGGCTTATATATAGATGTTGCCCCCAAAGCCTCATGCGCTCATAGGTGGGGCTTTGGGGAGGTTACTGAATCATGGGTGTGATACTGGATTAGTCCACTGATGGGCTTATAACTGGGTGTGATGTTGAGCAGTTAACCCTGGAAGGAAGAGGCGGGTCACTGTGAGTGTGGCCCGGAAGGATGTATTTATATTCCTTCTATTCCCTTGATCCCACTGCTGCTTCTTTCTGCCTGCCACTTCATGGACTGTTTCTCCTCTGCGAAGCTCATCTACCATGCTGCCCTGCCTTAGAGGCAGCCAACTATGGACTGAAACCTCTACAAACTATGAGCTAAAATAAACCTTTCCTCCTTTAACTTGTGGGTATTGGTTATTTTTTCCCAGCAACAAGAAAGTAACTAAGACCCAATGCAAAGAAGAATATTCTTTGATATGTGAAGATTATATAAATTTCAAGATTTCTGTGTTATTAGAATGTGGCCATCCTCATTTGTTTACTGATGTCCATGGCTGCTCTTATTCTGGAACAACAGAAGTGAATAGTTGTGACAATGATTATGACCTCCAAAACTCATTTACTACCTGACGCTGGTGACTCCACTGGATTTCCCTGAGCCTGGGCACTCTGTGTCCTGGCTCTCCTTGGACCCACAGGTCATGCCAGGCTGTTTCACATCAGGGTAACCTGCATGATGCAAGTCTACCTGTCATCAGTCTCATACTCCAGGGCTTATAAGACCTACTTTGCAGAGGCGACTCAATGCCATCCTCCTCAGCACTGTGATAAGGGAGGAAACCTATGACACCCTTCACCTTCAGCTTCTCCCCCAAGCCATCAAAATGCCTGAGTCTTACTAGTGCACTTTGGAACTAGTAACAGAAGAGAGGGGATCATTTTGTTAGCAGCCCCCAGCACCCTCTAAAATACAGGAATACTTGGGTTCTCAGGTTTCTGTTTTACCTGCACACACCTCCATTTTGCATTTCTACAAACTGGACCACAACACCTTTCCCTCGGCCTGGAGCTTCCCGTACATGGTTATGAACACACTTCATGCCACCTACCTCTGCACCCCTCCACAACTGCAGAATCGTCTGAACCAGTGGAAAGGGCAGCTGCTGGGGCCCCTTATCCAAGAGTCAGATCCAGGGATATGCACCAATGTCAGCCCAGGTGAGCCTTAGCAGTCCGAATAGGTCACAAAGGTGGATCCTTCACTCTGCAGCCCTCACAGTCAGGAAGGCACCATGCTAGCCCACTTCCTAACTTCCCCATGTGAAAGGCAAAAAGAAATGTCTCTCGTCTTTATGTCTCTTTTTAAATGATCTGTTATGAGCAGCTGAACCCATGCCTGGTCCAAACTGCAGTGTTATAGAAAGAGAGCCTGGGGATCTGAAGGACAAAATGACCACCTGAGGTCATCTATAAATCTTACTGCCTTGATTTGCATTGGATTGTACTTTCTTGTGTGTCTGCTTTTACTCCTGTGCCTACCTCAGGTGGGGAACAGATGTCAATCATGCACCCAGCTATCTGCACAATATCCTCTGCAAGCAATGTTGTAGGCAATGTTGTAAACATTTTCTTGTCTAAGTCACACAAGGGGTAGCCAGTTGGCACTGGCTGGGTACAGACAGGAAGCCCAGTGGATGATCTGCTGTGCAAAGACAACTGGTCAACTAAGGCCAGGACATCACAGTCAGAGTGTGTCACATGCAGAACCACAGGGGCATTGCCACAAAGGGCCATGTCAGGGTGCTCACCCACCCAGCAGGCCTGAACAGAGTTCACCTTGGGGAACATGCGGAAGATCTCCTGGTTGATATGGAAGATACCGCTGGTGTCCACCTCATACTTGAGCTTTGTCCCCAGTGGTGTGTTCTTCTGGGTGGTGAAGAGGAAGGCAGGGGCGTTGCAGCACCGGGATAGAGTGGACCTGCCAGGCAGGGAGACATGGGTGACACTGGGCAGAGCAAAGCCTTACAAGGAACAAAAGGGCCATAAATTGGGCCTTTTCCACCCTCAATTCCCACCCTCGTTCCCATCCCACACCTAGCTTGTGTTGCCTCCCCCCACTTTGCAGGCCTCCTGGTGCCCAGACCTTCTGCCTCTCCTGTTGTGGCCCTTTCGGGGCCCAGGTCAGGTTCCTCCCATGAAGCCCTTGCTGTTCCTGTCCCCACTTATTGCATCTGTTTCCAGGACTGCAGCACAGATTGGGAGCCATGTAATTCATCACCTGCTGTCTCCCTTCCAGACTTGAAGAAAAAACCCCAATGGCAGGGACTCCACTTCGCCCAATCCTGCATAGGACTAGTAACACATATGTACAGTAACCAGGTGCTCTCAAATTGCAGGACTGACCAAGCCCCACTGGAGCTTGCTCAGGACCTGCCAGTATGCCCCTGCTTCCTGGAGACATGTTCTTTCCACTTCATTCATCCAGCCTGAACTGAAAGCCCAGGGGAGCCTCAGCCCCCACAATAGATGCTAGACCAGGTGCCTACCTTGTCTGATGGGCTCATAAAACTAAGACCCACATGATCAGCAGAAATAACAAGCATTAACAATAACAAGCAATAACAAGCCTTCAGAAACCAATATAGGAATAGGGGAGGGTCAGAAAATAGGCTAGTGGCTTGATACTGCCTGGCTCCCTGCAGAAAGTGGACACTGGTTCCAAGGGAAGGTTTTAGGAGGTTCATTATTTAAAGAAATGAAAAGATCTCTGTGATTTTCATCTCAAAACTATTCAAACTTGAGTTATTGAAGATTAAAGTTCTAATGTAAGGTTTAAAAAAATTTCCCATAGTGGGAAGGAGCTGCTGAGGCTGGCTGGGCACCTGCCAGCCAGGAAACCTGGTTTTCTGTCTTCTCTGCAGCAGGTGCTCCACCTGGCCATGCACCCTCCAGGGCCTGCCAGGGAGGCTCTGAGACAGGCCCAGGTTTGGGCACATTTTTCTCCCCCTGCCCTGGAGGCCTAAAGCCTGGCCACAGAGGCTGCTGGACTTGACCAAGGGCACAAATATCGCTTTTCTCATCTAGGGGCTGAGCCCACAAGGATGCACCTCCTCCAAAAGAGGAGTGGTGGGCTGCCCAGGGGAATGGAGCATCTATTCCATGGAGTCCTGCAGCAACCAGAAATGAAGAGTGAGGAGGAGATTCTTGAAAACTGCCACCGAGGTCTGGGATGGAACCTGGAACAGGGTTAGCAGCCTAGTGGAAAGAGGTCTGGATTCAAATTTCTGCTCTGTCCTCACCAGTTGAGGGGCTTGAGGAATGCCTCTTTTCTTTCTGAAACTCAATCTTGTCTGCCACTGGAAAGTTTACCAGGCTCCCTCCCATTGAGATAGACTGATTCTTACTAACCAAGCTTTCAAGTAACTGATGTATAAACCAGAATGCCAAAATGCCAATTTATAGGCAGCTTGTAAGGAAAGGCCTCTGTTACAGGATTCTCTTCCTGCAACTGAAATGCTCATGTCTCACTCTTGCACTGTACCGTTCCTGCCAGCCTGAGTGAAGAATCTCATCATTGTTCCAGGACCTTGAAATGAGAACAAAGGGAGGCAACTGAGTGGCCTTGAAGGTTTTTCCATGTAGAGCACAGCAAGGCCTGATGTCACCTCCCTTCCCCACCCCTGAACCCACTCTATATCCCTCAGCCCCCACAGCATCATGCTCTGGACTGTAGTGTCTGATCCTTGCTACAAGTTCCCCCTTAAAACTTCCATCTACCTCTAGACATGGCCTGGAATTGCCACCAATGGGAACAAATGATTTCTAAAGAAAATATAAAATCCTTGGTTACACTCACTTTTCACAATCACTTGTGTAGACTCCTTTATGCTGATAGCTCCTCAGTACACTTAAACTTGAAAATGAACTGCCAAAATCCAGTTTAGGCATAAATCACAATTTAACAGCATAAGGTCTACTTGCACTGAAACGATGACATAAGTCTGCAGCATTTTAGAGACGGAGGGGACCCTAAAGCTCCATTAATGAAAAAGGATGTTTGGATGTTGCCCATCTGCTTGGCTCCCACGGGAGATCTTTAAGATAAAGCTCTTGCCTCTCTGGGAGTTTATAATCTGTTAATTGTGGTTAGAGAGTAATTAGGAAAGAATCAACAACAGGGCCCAGATGCCTTGTGTGGCTGTCAAAATGCAGGCACTCAGAGAATGCGTGAGGCTGCTAAGTTAGAGCTGCAGACCAGGAGAGGGAGGTGGGGACGGAGAGGCCATGGAGGACTGCAGGGAGACCTAGCGCAGATATCTTACTGTTAGAAGGCTCATTGAACCCCAACTGTGTTCTGGAGGTGACAGCACTGCCTCATAGAGCTGCTGCATGGCCTGTGGAGGACAGCAGATTGCAGGTGCTGCCTCACTCTGCTGGGGTCAGAGCCTCGCCACTGTCCAGATTCCCAACCTTCATTAGGGTCAGCCCAGGGCAGGTGCCTGCCAACAGCTGGGCCTTACAGGATGATGAAGACTTCAAGAGGTGACAGAGGGGGACCCATGCCAGGAGAAAGAATGACAGACAAAACTGATAGGTACTTGAACTGGTTGGCTTCAGAGATGTTCATTGCCCACTTGCACATCTGGAGGCTCTTCCACCGGTCGAACAGCTCTGACTGCTTCACCCTTTGGGAGGAAGAACAGAACCAAGTGTCATCATTTTTCAAAATGCTCCTGCTCTGTGCCCATCTGTCAAATCCAGGGCTCATGCTATGTATCAGCTCTGTTTTCTTATTCTCTGTCTTCTTGATGCTCTGGTATCTGCAGCCTTGCTGCTTACTGATTGTGCAAGGCTCCTGCCAAAGTGCCTTTCATCAGAGCAGTCCTGACCTACCCTTTGGCCACCCTCTTTTCAGCAAGCCACTGCCCCCTTCCCCTAATTGTCACAGAGCCAGGTATCAAACAACTACTAAGTATCAGAGCCTACCCAATTTATTCAATCTAGCCTGTCCTAAACCTGTCTACCTCACTTACTCTGCCTTGCCAATTTCCTCCCATGAAAACCACACTAAAGCTCTTGCCTGTGTTTTCCCCTCACTCCTGCCTTCTGACCAGCCCCGGTGCTTCCCTGTGGTCCTGTATGTTGTGGTGTGCCTCCTGTTTCTGGGATCTGTGAGCATCAAAACTCCTGCTCTGGTAGAACCCCACACTGCACACAGCACACAGTAGGGCTCATGAATGTGGTGTACCCTTCTCTTCCTGCCTTCTCAAGGGCAGATCGTAACTTTCCAGTGACAGAGAGGAAGCGATGAGAAACTAGAGATCTTCTCTGCACAGCCACCTGCCTGGCTCTGTGCTGGGGGATTTTAAACATCTCAGCATTGCGATATTCCCAGGTGCTCTCAGGAAGGACAGCATCTAATCACAGAGGCACCTCCCTTTGGCTGACACTGCATAAAGAATTAGTTTTTAGTTATCATTTATATTTACACATTAATAATTATGCATTCTTACAAGTTTCAGTGCTGTACCTACAGTTTCCAGAAATATAGCAAAATATGGACTCTAGATACATATTGTACGAACGAATGAATGAATGAATGAACCAAATCAGAGACTCAAATTCCCAGGAACAGGAGTATTTCCCTTTTGAATACTCCCTACTCTTCCAGAATAGCTGTCCGCCATGTCTTTCTCTCTTTTCCCTTTCCTCACCTTCAAATAAATTGTGTTTTTCTTAAAACAAAAACAAACAAATTCCCAGGAACACTAGCTGATGACTGTGAAATCTTTATGTGCACTAACCCCTCCCTTCTCATGGCTTCTCTTGTCCTTTTCAGCCAGTACCTGGCCTCAGAAGCCAGACATCACACTCCAAGCCCTCTCTCCCACATATGTGCTTCAGTGTCTCTGTTATCTTTCCCTATCCTTGGTTACTTATCCTCAGTTCTGTGAAGAAGTTGCTTCTAGGATCTTACTCAGGCTATGTCACCAAAGATAAGTCACAGAAAACCTCAGTCTGCTCATCTATATAGTAGAGCTATTGAAATTCTTGCCACCTACTAAGAGATTATTTGTACTATTATCACTCATTTGACAATTTTATACATTTCCTTATACAGTTAGTCCTCTGGGGTAGGGAATACAGGGAGATGTTAAGTGAAAAGGAAAAAATCTGTACAATGATATCTGTTTCCCAAAGTGTATTCTGTGGAACTCTAATTCAGTAAGAGGTCACAAGGTATTAGTCGAAACACTAATACATGAAACTGCTACAAAAAATGCATCCATGTATGGCTTAATCCAATTTTTAAAGAGAGGGAACCTATGGCCAAATATACTTAGGAAAGGTGAGTTAAATAAGGTTCAATGCTTTTCTTTATTGCAAGATTTCTCAAATTGTTTAATGTGTTCTCATATATTGTGAATTTACAAAAACAAAAAAGATACCATATGATTGTTTCCCAAAGGTACTGCATCATGAGACCATTTATTCAATGAATAGTTCATAAGACTCGAAGTTGACAGAAACACTGGAAATGCAAAACAGTCAGATCATACATTCATTAAAGAAAGGACCATGACTTCTCTCTCATCATCAGGCACAGTCCCCAGCCAAGGGCCAGGCACTGTGTAGCTGCTCAGGGTCATCTGGCTGTGAACCTTTTAGGAAACTGGTGGGTCATGGGTGCTGATGCAGAGAGAAGCCCCTTAAAGGAGGCTGTTCTGGATTGATTATCAGTGGAAGAACCAACAGCCCCCAGGTGGTAAATGCCCCCAGAAACTACTCTAACTATGGTTCTTACCCTGGGGCTACCAAAGGGTTTAGAAGTGAATATGAACACCCTGCATTATGAGCAAAATCCCAGATCTATCCACCCTTGTAGTATGTATCTGGGGGAGAAAGTAAAGCCTTCATCCGCTTCCCAAGGGGGGCTATGATTCCAAAAAGACAAGTACCCACTTGACTACAGTTTAAAAAATAAAGGTTCACTCTGCAGAGTTGTATTCTGTGCTTAACTGGAGGGGTTAACACTTGTCCCCAAGCAGAACAGACCTCACCAACAGAGAGGATACGTGGCTGGTGGGGGAGGGGTGGTTGCAGGAAAAGTCACAGAGGATGGTGACCGAGTTCATGGATTTTGGAACCAGAGCTTGGGTCTAGGACCCAGTTCAGATACCTCCTAACTATGGGACATTAGGCAGATTATTTAACTGAGCCTCAGGTTTCTCATTTATAAAGTGGGCATAATAGTAATCTCTTAGCCTCACAGATTTTTATTAATTATTAAATAAGATGACACTATGAAAGATTAAGCCTGGTGCCTGCTGCACAGAAAACATCTGATCAGTACAGATTATTATTATAGTTAAACTGAACTGCTTTGATTATGCTCAAGCACAGCCCCTTGTACATTCTACTTTTGTAAAACCCATAACCTGTCCTTATTCTCACTACATAGCACATCATGGTTTGGGATCATGCCTGAGTTCCCCTCTGTAACTCCATGCTGAGGCACAGAGCTGATGCCTGGAAAATGGTTGTTGAGTACATAAAAACCAATGAATGAATCAATAAGTCGGAGTTCAAATAAATCTTTAACTGTTTACTGAATACTTCTATATGACTAGAGCTAGAAATCAATAGGGAACAAAACAATACCTTGCTTTCACAGAGCTTACATACCATTGGGGCAAGCAAATGCGAAACAAATATAGATTGTCTTGTCTGGATGTAGTAAGTGCTGTGAAGAAAAATGAAGTAGGATATAGGGATAGGTAAGTGACTGTTTCAAGTGGCTGATCAAGGAAGGCTTTTCTGGGGAGAGAAACCTTGATCAGAGATCTAAAATGATATTTTCACATGTGAGATGTGAAAATATCTGGAGAAAGTGTGGCAGAGAAAAGAGTGAGTACAAAGGCTTTGGGGAAGTTAAAGACCTGAAAGGAGCCCCTCCTCTCAGAGGACAGGTGCCATTAAATAACAGCATCCTGGCTTATGCACTGCTACCCTTTCCCACTTCCCTGCAACCCACAAGAGCTTAGAGCAACACCCTATATAGCCAATGTTTCTAAAACCTTGGAGTAACATAGATCTAATAATACTCCAGGCCAGGGTACTGAGTTCAATTGTTGGCAGCAATCCATGCCCTAATCTCTGTGCCTCCAATACCCTTGCCACACCCTAGATCAAAGTTAGGGCCTGAAAACCCAGCCTTGAATCCTGGCTTCATCCCCAACTTGGGCAAGTTGTTTAATCTTTCTGAGACTCAACTGCTTATCTGTATGATGGATATCATAGCTTCTCCCCTGCCAATCTCAAAGGTTGTTGAATAGATCAAATGAAATCATATGTGTAAAAATACTTTATAGACTGCTTTGCAAATGCAGAGGTCAGATGAAAGGCTGACCCTAGGCTCTTCTCTCTTTTCTTCCAAGATACCACTAACACTCCAGAAGAATAAAAAAGATATAACCCACCAAATGAATACGATGACAGGGAGGGAGATCTCAGTGAAAGAGAGATCTCAACAGATGTACAAAAGGAGGAGGGGGTGATACAAGGACAAGATGACATAAACCAGAGGAAAATGCTCAACATGGGTAAAAGGTGGAAATGAGCATGGCCTTGAAAATGTGAATCAGTGTGAGCTTGTAAGAACACCCAACCCCACTCTGCCCCTCACCTGCAGCCCAATATTTTAGGTCCAGCAGTGGGTAGAAGGGTTGTGTCAGGGGAAGGGTGAAATCAGATGATTGTTTCCTCTCAAAAAACTGCACCATTCCCAGTGAAAAGACCTGGGCATCACAGCAGCAAAAGAATCAATAGCATTTTGAACAACTTCAGACACACAGCTCCTACCTGCTTTAACTGTTTTAAGTTTGCTGGTCCATCTGAAGGAAATAGACCAAGATAAACCACCAAATACAAGGACTACAGAGGAAAATTTTGAGGGAACAAAACAGATCTAAAAAATATCTCAGTGTTCCAGAGATATCCAGGAAAAAATATATCCTTAAAAATAAGAATAGATTGCTCTGAGAAGAAAGAAAATGCTCTGGAGGAAGAGTTGATTAAAAGAGCTGGAAGATGAAGTCAAGGAATTTTACCAGAATGCAGAAGAAAATGGTAAAGAGAAAAGTTTAAATTAAAAGATATGACTGCTAGAGAAACAATCCAGAAGATGCAGTACACAATTCTATTTTTTTTTTTTTTTTTTGGTACCGGGGATTGAACTTGGGACCTTGTGCTTGTGAGGCAGGTAGCGGAACCACTGAGCTAAATCCCCAGCCCCAGTACACAATTCTTATATGCACTAGAAAAAATTAGAGAATAATGAAGAGGATGAAATAGTGTATTCAAGAGAAGTTTGAACAGGAGCTCTAGAGGAAAAGATCCCACTGGGCACTAAGGTACATCCTCTGGGACACTTCAGACCTGTCCTGATCTAAAGAGATCCTAGAAAAAATGAAAATAAACCACATCATCTCCAAAGGAACAACCATTCCCATGCTTCTCATGTAGTCTTGGATGCTATAAGATGGTGGAGGTCTACAACATCCTGAGAGAAAATGATTTTCACCCAAAATATCATCTCCCTAACCAATGATCCAACCAACAAACCAACAACCCACCAAACCAACAATCCAACAACCTATCAAACCAACCAACAATCCAGCAACTC